TTGAGTTTATGGGTGGGTTTAGGAGAGAGTGGAGAGAATCTGCGGTTGGCTTGGAAGACAGTGTGAGAGGATAAAGACGGCGTGTAAGCCATTTGTTTCTCACGCCGGCTGGCCAGGAGAGGTGGCGGTTTCGTGTCTAGAGGGAAGGGAGTCAGTTTCTCCTACAAAGGGTAAGATAGACTGACGGAGTCCCATGTAGATCATGTCCATCCATCCCTCTCGATTTGTGTGTGGGACCCATCCTTATTTTTGGAGCAAGATTAAAACAATCGACGATTATTTTTATAAAAAAATAATAATAATTTCAACCAACCTAAAAATAGTTAACCAGTAAATTTAAGAATTTAAGTTTAACGGATTGGGAGTTCTACACTCTATATTACTTATAAATTTATCATTTTTTCTTTAAATTTTTGATAGGTGAATAATGTGTATTTAATACCTTGATTTATATTAAAATTTAAATCTTTACTGGATAGTTATTACATTTCTCATTTCTTTTAAAATTTTGCTTGTTTTAAAAAATAAAAAAATAAAAATTTATTATTATTTATTATATATTAAATAAATATAATATTAAATATATATTTATATATAAAGGTATTCTGTTTTATCTAATCAAAATCATTAAAAAGAGAAAAATAACTCAATATCAAAAGCTTTCTTTTTTGATGGTTCTAATCTTAGAACTCGTTATAAGATGATTGCAAAATAATTTTTTAATATAATATTACAATATAAACACCTAAATAAAAAAATTCATATGGCAACACTTTATATTTTAAATTTTAAATCTATATCATGAAGTAACGGTTTAGGCTATTGCATTTTCGTAAAAAAAAATGGCGCGCAGTCACAGCAATAAAACAAACGGGAAAACTGTCCAGCCCGTGGTCAAAGGCCCAAAGCAGAAGAGCAATAACTGAATCCACCGTCACCGAAGTGAGGTTTTTGTCTCGAACTCTGCACTTGATAAGCGTGCTTCAGAAAAATGAAAAGAAAATGGCTTTGAAGGAAATGAATGACGGTTAATGCATGCCCATGTTTTCTTGGATTATAAGTAGATTTCTGCATGTGGTTCTTTATATGGCTGAGAGAGCCTGGAGCCATGCCATGGAGAAAAGACAGCTTCCAGATGGCCCAAACGCATGCCAGCACATCTATTTAATTGGCAGACTGAGGAAGGCTGTAAAATGGGCGAATCTTTTTTCTCATTTGTGTGCTATTAAAGGAGATTCCAAAACATCCTTAGAAGCTGAGGTGTGTCTACAATTTGATGATTTCTTTTACTTACTTTACACCTTTCATTTGTTATGGTTGGAGTTTGGAAAATACATAGCTTATGCTTGCAGCATTTTCTATTTTCTTTCTTGCATTGGTTCTTCCTTCCCCTGTCTCGGTCCTAATGGTGTGTGTTTGAGGTTTGGTTTAGAGATGTAATTTGGTTGCATGAGTTTTATTCGAGTTTAGTTTAGTATTATTTCTTCATCCATCTCAGTGATCGAGTTTTATAAAAGTTTAAAATAGTGGACATATTATTATGCACATAGTGAATGGGCAAGGGAACATATTTTCATTTCTCTTCATATTTTAGTTTATTTTTCGACCTTTTTCATTTCTTTTGGTACTCTAATTTTGTTAAGGTGAATATTCCATCTATTTAACCCCTTTTGAGGCTTTAGGTTTAGGGTTTGTAACCAACAAAAGTTGAATTATTTGTACCAAAAAGAAGAGATTCAGACTTTATCCTTTATTATTTTAAACATTTCCTGCCTAACCGCTTTAAATTACAATTTACTTGATTATATGTTGTGCAATGTTGTATAGGAAGTGGAAATGAGAATAGTTGTTTGTTTTATTGCTGGTACTCTTACGGATGCAAAAGCAACCTTTACGGGCTGCCTTTGTGAAGGGGACAATGTAAGAGAAAGAAGAATTTGCAAGCACTTCTTTTGTCATACTTTTGCAAATAATGTCCAGGGACACCGAAAAGAAAAGAGAAAGAATAAGTGGAAAACCTAGGAAAAAAAAAAAGGAAAATGACAAGTGCATATTGTGTGCCTGTAGTTGGTTTCAGGGGCTATTTATATGCTCCATCATTCCTCTAAGATTTCTTCAAGATGACAGCTATGCATTTAATTATCTTTCTGATTTTCTATTTCCCAAACTGTGTTAAAGTACCAGAGCACTTGCAGATTATTTGCTTGATTAGTTGATGAAGCATGAATCCACTATTTTCCCATTCCCATTCACTAAGTATTTTTTCTTGTATTTCTACTTCTAGGCCTATGCTTCCTATATGAAAGGGAGTCTGTTATTTGAACAAGATCAGAATTGGGACACTGCATCAATGCATTTCAAAAGTGCTAGGTTTGCACTTATCTCTATGATATATAGAAGCATCATGTGTAGCTGATATAGTATATCTTCATGATCAGAAAATCCTGTATAAAATGAAATCAAGCATCTGTGGATAGGAGTGTGGGAGGCTACTGATGTTTATTATATTGTAGGGATGTTTATAAGCAACTTGGAAAATATGGAGATGTAGATAATATTAATTATGTGATTTCTATTTGGATATTAGTTTTAAAGTCTTGAATTATTGATGTAATTAACTTGATTATTTCAACTATAAGCTAGAAGGAATCATACATTTATTATTGAAAAAAAATGCATTTCCTTACAAAAAAAAAAAAAAAAAAAAAGCCAGAAGGAAATTCAAAATTTTCATTACTAGAATTAGTTGTAATATGACATATATAATTCTCTCCTTCCTTGAACGAAAAAAGAAAGAAATTAAATCTTGGAGACATCAGGACTCAAAACGAAAAACAATAGAAATTCTTGGAATCATGCATATCCTCGGGTACATATATACATCATGATATGTAATTTTGTCAATAGATTATCCAAAATTTAAGGCCCTTTTTTAAGCGGTTCTCTACGCTTATATTTGCCATCGATGTGGTCGACAAACTATAGTTCCCAAATCCATTTTGGTTATCAAAACTTCTCCTCCATATCAAAAAGGGGTCATCAGGCCATTGCCATCCCAATACCTAGAAATATGGGCCGGTTATTGTCTTCAAGCAATTTGTTAAGGCAATCAAAAGTTTTTAAATTCTTTTGTTGTGATCACTATTTTTATTCCTTTCTTCAGCCTCTTTCTTCAGCAGATTTCTTAATTTTCTCACTTGCCTTTCCGATTCCATTAATTATAGACAAAAATCTTGTGAAAATAAAAACAGTTCTTAATTCCTCTAACATAATTAGGTCTTATTCTTATATATTAGAAATTATTGCATAAAATATAATTTCTATCTTAATTATACTTTTCATGTCAGTTTTATTAGTTATTAAGTATTAAAAGGTAATAATAATAATATATACTTATCATGAAATAATATTTCTCAAAATATAAAAAATATAAAATTTGTATTAAATTAATTAAGTTACATTGTAGTCCTAATTAATTAAATTAGTTTATAATAAAATATTAAAACTTGAAATAATAATTATGAATATAAAAATATCAACTAACAAATATAAATAATTAAAAAAATTAATATAAAGAAATTATAATTTTTAAATTTTTAATATTAATAAATTCTTTATTACCTCATTTTGTCCTGATTTTCAAGAATTCCTCAACAAGTCTAACAAAAGCCTCCCAAAACTCTCCAATTCTGATTTAAAATGAGTATTTATAGGACTTGAAAAAACTCTAATGGTAAAGGAAGTGAAATCCACACTAAAGAAAATAGAATTTCACCCCTACAAGAGCACAAAGCAAGCAAAGGATTGGCACCTAAGATTAAGGAGTCGACACGTATAAATAATTTATGAAGACAACTTCTTGTCGGGATTTTGGCCTTCGAAACAATTTTGAATCTTCACTGGTAAAACTGTTCTGATCCCTCATACCTCATTGATTGACACTCTGATCCTCACAGTTTTGATTTCTTTGAATTGGTTCTAAAAATTATAATTTCTTTCAATTAAATCCTTTTTTGCACAAGAAATGAAAATAATGAAAAATAAAGTAAAATCTCATAAAAATTATCCAATTGTCAATAATATCAAAGCAAAATTTTCACATTAATATCTATAAAATTTTAATATATCAATTAATAAAACAGATATTTTGATCAAAATCTCTTAAATAACTTGATTAAGAGTTTATTCCATTAGAAAGTTTCTCCTCGCTTAGGTGAAGTTAAATAGCTACCTTGGCAATTATTTTCAAGGCTGGCTGTTCAAGGCTTTCTTGGTCTTGATCAAACATTAAAACCCATGAGAAGGGGCCCTTGCATTAACAAGAAAACGGGTTACTCTAATTCAAAGTAACAAAAGTTCTTGATGAGTTAATATAATCATTCATGTTAAGTAGCACAAATTATTAAACTTTAAGACTTTCTTTATGAGCTAAAATGATCATTAAAATGACTCACACAATACTATCAAAATTATAAACAATAATAAAAGTTCAGAAGGTTCCTTCCAGAGAAAATGTGACATATTTTTGAAAAGGAGTGTACCACAACATAATTTACACTAGCATATGAAAAAATGTTGTGAGAAGTAATTTTCACAGAGAAAAAAGAACAGGAGCCTATATGAAAAACTAGCACGCACTTGCCTCACGCAATTTATAGAAACGAAGAAAAGCACATAATTTTTAACTAATGAGAGGTTATAGAAAGATTCATGATTTAAGCAACATATGCGAGTTGTTGGGTTAAAATGACCCAATCATATTTAGTGAATTTGCAATGTTAATTTAATCTCTGTACATATTAAGTTTATATATATTTATTTATGGTTAAAATTTTAGTTCTATAGTAGTTTAATTTCAAGATTTATCTATAAATAATAGTGTAATTTGATAATAAATATACTTAATTTAAATTAAATATATTTTTTATTTTTAAATTTACTTTAATTTACATGTCATTTAATTCATTTAAAATCTATTAATTTTAATTTACAATAATGTTTAAATCTTTAAATCTATTTAAGGCAGATTTAGCAACTTATTCTATAAAAAATGCATCTTTCCTTCTTACAAGTCATCTAAATTAAAGGCACAATTTTCATTTTAAATTGATATACTTCTAGCTATTCACAAGGAGGTCAAGCGCAAGGAAGGAATGGGTTGGGAAATTTCTCCTTTCATACTTTATAGCAAAATAAGTAACATACTTGTATCTAGATTTTATATGTGTGGCACTGCTTCAGAATTTTTGTGAGGAAACAATTTTACATGTCAATTTTAATGGTTATTAAGTATTAAAAAATATTAGAAATAATAATATATACTTATTATGAAATAACAATCCTCAAAATATAAAATTTACAAAATGAATATTAAATTAATTAAGTTACATCACAATCTTAATTAAACAAATTAGTTTATAATAAAATATTAAAACTTAAAATCATAATTATGAATAGAAAATATAAATATTAATTAACAAATAAAAATAATTTAAAAATAAAACTTAATTTAAAAAATTTTAAAAATTTAATATTTTATTATATATTGATAAATTTCTTACCAACTCACTCTATCTTAATCTCCAAAAATTTCCCAAAAAGGTTAACTAAACCCTCCTAAACTTCGCACTTATAATCTTATAAATGAGTATTCGTAGGACTTGAAAAAACCCTAATCGTAAAAAAAGCTGGATCCACTCTAAAGAAAATAGACCTTTACCCGTACAAGGGCATAAAGCAGGCAAAGCATCGGCATCTAAGATTAAGGTGTCGATACCTGTAAATAATTTATGAAAGCGACTACGTGTCGGAATTTTGGCCTTTTAAGCAATTTTTAGTTCTTCATTGGTAACGCTGTTCTTATCCCTCATCCTTCATTGATTAACACTTTGAACCTCATAGTTTTGATTTCTTTGATTTGGTTCTACAAATTATAATTTCTTTCAATTAAATCTTTTTCTACACAAAAATAAAAATTATGTAAAATTAAATAAAATCTCACAAAAATCATCCAATTGTCAATAATATCAAAATAAAAATTTCATATTAATATCTATAAAATTTTAACCTATCAATTAATAAAGTAGATATATCGATAAAAGTATTAGGCATAACTTGATCAAGAGTCTATCTCATTAGAAGGTTCCTCCCCTTAACTGAAATCGAAGAGCTACCTTGGGGATTGTAATCATCACTGGTTGTTCAAGGCTTTCCAGGTCTTGATCAAACATTAAAACCCATGCGAAAGGGTTCTTGCATCAATAAGAAAACAGGCCATTTTGATTCAAAATAACAAAAATACTTAATGAGTTAATGTAATCACTCATGCTATGTTGTATAATTTATTAAGCTTTAAGATTTCTTTATAAGCTAAAAATATAAACCACTCACAAGGTTCTTTCCAAAGAAAATGTGACACATTTTCTAAAGGGAGTATACCACAGTATTGTTTCCAGTAGCATACGAAAAAATATTGTGAGAAACAATTTTCACAGAGAAAGAAGAACATGAACTTAGGTGAAAAATAAGCGCTCACCCACCTCACACAGTTAACAAAAACAGAGAAAAATACATAGTTTTTAACTAATGAGAGGTTATAAAAGGATTCATGGCTTAAGCAACATATATATCCAAGTTGTGGAGTTAAAGTGACCCAATCATATTTAGTCAATTTGCAATACTATTTGTAAGAACCACTGAACAACAATAGTGCTAATGAATGGATAAAAGGAAAACTTTATACTACCTTAACTAACAAATACTCACCTAATTATATAACAGTGTAAGAAACGAAAGATTAAACAATAGAAATCTCTATTAAAAAGTAAAAAGGGATGCTTGCTCGTTGATAGTGATATCCTCACTCACATTGTAATAACTTAGTAAGTGCTGAACTAAAATAACTGTGATATAATCATGAAATCAATTGAGTATTGACAAATGCAAACCATGCAGTTAAATTAGGGAAATGATTTTAGCTTCGCCACTAGACTAAATTTGCCACAACTTGATGTCTTCATCCAATGCACTGTAAAAATTTTCCAAGAATAAAATGATTAAAGTAGTAGATGTAGAAAATGTGATCAATCTAAATAAATAAATAAATAAACATTTGCAAATTTAGAACCTAATTGAATATTTTTAATCTCGAATTTATAAGGACAAACATAAAACAAGATATGAATTTATTATGAGATTGAGATTAAATAGAACAGAGGTGGCATATTCTGTTCTTTGATTAAAACTTGCATTTTCACCAAAACCACAGCACTTAGAATTAGAAGAGAGAAAAAAGGTTTTGACTTAAATTTAACGGAATAGAAATAAAAGTTGGAGCAGAACATTAGGCTTTCATTGGACCTAATATAAGTGAAATAGTATCAAATAATAATATTAATAAGTTACACTTTATATGTTTTGACTCAAAATATTTGTAAGTGTATAAAATTAATTCAAAAAATTATAATAAAAAAATATAATGATAGTTACATATGCAAAATAATCACTAAAATAAAATAACATAGATAACTTTTTATATAATGATAGCCCACTATTGCAAAGGATTTCGGATTAAGTTAAACGGAGTAGAAACAAAAGTTCGAGCAGAACATTAGGTTTTTACTGGGCCGGACATGGGTTATGATTTTAGGCCTACATGTAATAGGGTTAAGTTTAACAATGTCAATTACCATGTTCCCTTTTTATGGGCCTAAAGGATATATCCTTTCTTTACTAATTTTTTTTGAGGCCCAAACTAGGGGCCTGTGCCCTACCCTGGGCCTTCTTTCGTTGGCCCCTCGGAGAAGGAAATGGTGGTAACAGCAGAAATATTCCCTCTTTGGCACCTGAAAAGTTTCATCATCAACAATTTTTTAATATCCCGATGCGATCTTTGTTTTATAGTGTCCGCTATTTATTGAGAAAATTTTAGTTGAATTGTTTAATTTTGAAATTTTTATTTAAGATAAAAGTTAAAAATTAAAAATTTTGTGCCGTTCAGTAATTATATAAAAAATAAGGGATAATTTTAAATTTTATGTACAGCTGTCACCTTTGGATTCTTCTGTTTATATTTATAATATGACAAATTGTGATGCTTTTTATGTAAGCACCAACTGCATCAATATTCTACATTATTTAAACGCATCGAAGATCTATAATTAGGACTACTGTTATGTACTGTTGCATGCTTTATTGCTTTATGCCTATCAACTTTAGATTCTATTCTACCTACTTTTTCTTTTTCTTTTTCTTTTTCTTTTTCTTTTTGGTTTTTTAACTTGTCATGCTTTTCTTTGCAATCTCCAACCGGAAAGAATAAGACTCCCGAAACAAAACCCCTGTGTGTCAACAATGCTACATTGACTTTCCTTGAGAAAAATATAAGTCTTCCTTCTCTACACTCCATGAGCTTTACACTTCTCAGTTTTTCTTTGCTTATTTTTGCTGCAGCTTCCTCAATCTAGCTACAGGCTATAGGTATGTTATCTACTGATCATGTTTATATTTTCTGTTTGTCGTTGTTAATGAAATGAAATTATAGCTGATATATCTGTGTTAATTGTTTTCTAACCTGTTATGGTTATTGTTGTGTGTTTGTTCAGATCTGGTACCAATCTTGTGCTTCTTTTGCTCTGCCTTTACACACTTCTCACCATGTTCTTCGCTTATTCTCAGCTTCCTTAGTTTACGGTATGTCATCTACTGTTAAGCTTTTTATTATTTTTTTTTTCCTCGTGTTGTTGTTGTTGATGCATAAGAAGATAGGAACTCAATTATAGCTGATCATCTACCTTTGTTATTTTCTAATCTCAATCTGTTATGGTTGTTGTTATGTGTTTGCTCAGATTCGGCCGGTACCATTCTTGTACTTCTTTGCTCTGCCTCTAGTTCCACTTATTTTCAACGTCCTTACCTCATTTCGCCAGCTGATCTCCGGGTATATGCTACTTTTTATACTACTCTAATCTGTTTTTCTCCCTTGGAGGTATAGAAAGGTTCAATTTCTGCATGTTGAGTCTCTACTAAATATATGCATACTTGATTTGTCTTTAACCATGACAAAATTGCTTTTTCATTACATAATATCACAAAAATGTGTTAGTTAGTATGTTAAAACAATTAAGTTTTAACTAAGAATTTCTCACGGATTCCTAATTCTTCTGTATGATGGACAATGTTTGACACATGCAGAGCCAATGTAATACTACAAATAATAATAATAATAAGATAATCAAATAATTTGGTTTAGATAACCCAACATGAGGCAATGAATCCACCAAGTTAGTATATATGCATAGGAAGGAGGAACAAAGATTGTCTACTTATTTATGCTTTTTCTTTATCTGAAGCAAACAAAAACTTAAGCACCTCAATTGGTGTCACATTTCAGGAATTTTCTTCATGGCGGAAATTGCAACACTAATTCTTGAAATCATAAAGTGTGTAGCACCTCCAACACAAAATTGTGTAGATAATCACAGAAACTTCAAAGAAAATGCCGAAGATCTGAGAAACAAATTGAGAATTCTTGATGGTAGAAAAGAAGATGTAGAAACAAGGCTACAAGATGAGGTTTGCTCAGAAAAACAGGCCAAAAATGAAGTGGTGGTATGGCTTCAAGATGTAGAGAAGATCAATGTTGAAATTCAAGATGTTTTAAAAAGGGTGCACAGTGCTTCATACTTCTCGCGAGCTCGCCTTGGAAAACTTGCTCGTGAAAAAATTAATGCCGTGGATGCAATTCTTCAGCGAGGTAGTTTTCCTGAAGGACTAGTAGTTAATAAGCCTGCAACTACTTTGCCTTTACCAGTAGAGAATCTAGAAGGCGAGGATTCTGTGAAGGAAAAGATATGGGGATACTTGACAGGGAATCAGTTCCAAATGGTTGGAGTTTGTGGAATCGGGGGTGTTGGGAAGACCACCATTATGAAGCATATCCATAATGAATTATTAAAGGGGTCAAGATTTGATAAAGTGATTTGGGCCACTGTCTCATATCCACTCAATGTTGTGAGATTACAGCATGAAATTGCAAAGGCAATGAATGAAAAACTGCCAGAGGATGATCATGATGAGCAAAGACAGGCTTCAAGATTGATGCATCTTATGGGAAAAGGGAAATATGTGTTGATTTTAGATGATGTGTGGGAAAGGTTCACTCTGGAGTGTGTTGGAATTCCGCCACCAACATTGCAAAATGAGTGCAAGCTAGTTATTACCAGCAGAGAGGTGGATGTCTGCAATTTCTTGGGTTGTAAAGTCGTTAAAGTGCAACCTCTTTCCAAGCAAGAGTCTTTGAATTTGTTCTTAGATAAGGTGGGCAGGGAAATTCTACAAATTCCAGAATTGGAAGCAATTTTGAATCTTATGGTGGACGAGTGTGCTGGACTTCCCTTGGCGATTGTTGTAATAGCTAGGAGCATGAAAGGAGTAACTGATGTTCAGCAGTGGAGGCATGCTTTAAATGAATTACGTGAACGCCTTAGAGATATAGCCAAGGGTTCAGGAGATGAGATATTTGAGCGGTTGAAGTTTAGCTATGATCGTTTGCAAGATTCAAATATCCAAAATTGTTTCTTATCTTACTCATTATATCCTGAAGACTATACAACTACAAAAAAAGATCTGGTTGAACAATGGATTGATGAGGGACTTATTGAAGAATTAAGGAGCAGACAAGCAATGCTTGATAAGGGACAAACCATATTAAATGGGCTTAAAAACAGTTGTCTGTTAGAGGAAGCTTATTCTAACGACAGTATTAAAATGCATGATGTTGTGAGAGATATGGCATTACGCATCAAGAGCATCGGTCCTCAATTTATGGTGAAAGCTCGTATGGGCCTAACAGAGATACCAGATGAGCATGAATGGGCTGAAAATCTTGAAAAGGTTTCCTTGATGCAGAATGAAATTTCAGATATTCCCCCAAACACGTGCCCAAATTGTCCCATTCTCACAACCTTGATGCTGCAAGGGAATAGCAAATTGACCAAAATTCCAGATTGCTTTTTTAAAAACATGCAAGGGCTCAAGTGTCTAAATCTTTCTGGAATTAGCATTGAAAGTCTACCTCATTCCATCTGCAATTTGGAGAATCTTACTACATTGCTCCTGCGTGGTTGTCGGCAATTAAAACATGTGCCTTGCTTAGCAAAGCTTAAGGCATTGAAGAAGTTGGATATGTTTGAGGCGGGAATTGATGTGGTCCCTGAAGGCATTGATATGCTTGTAAATCTCCAATATCTTGATTTATGGTGTCCAGAATTGGTGGAGCTATCGACACAAATACTCGGTAACCTCTCTCACCTCCAGCACTTGACAGTATATTGCAGATCGACCACTTTAAAGATAAAAGGAGAAGAAGTAAGAGGATTGAAGAAGTTGGAGACTTTTCAAGCTCAATTGTATGACTTGCAAGATTTGAACAATTATGTTAAGTCTAATCATTTTAAAAGATTGAGTAATTACCAGCTTGTGCTTGGACAAGTGGAGGGCAACTTTGATCTTTCCATTCATTTGTCTAAAGTAATAAGTTTAGGAGAATGTGAGATAGGTGGAGAAGATAGTGTGGTGCTTCCAGATGACGTGGAGGATCTATGGATTCATCGGTGTAGAAAATTTAGAAGCTTAAGTGATATTTATTCTCCCCAAAAAACAACTGAGTTGAGAAACTGTTCTGTTACTGAGTGTGAAGAGATAGAGTGTGTGGTTGACATGGTTACGTCATCATCATCTTTCATTAATAACCTTGAATGGCTATGGCTTGATAACTTGCCCAACTTGAGTGTTGTTGTGAACGTGGAAGGAGTAGAAGCAACATCGCCTCACATCTTTTCCAATCTTAAATTCTTTGAGATGTGGGAATGTTCTACAATGAAGAGGTTGTTTTCATTTGAGCTGCTGCAAGGCCTCCAAAACTTGGAGCAGATTAGAGTTTGGAATTGTCAACAAATGGAGGAAATAATAGGGTGGGAAGGAGAAGAGGAAAATCACACAGCTGATGCAACTACTACTACTACATTCACTCTTCCAAAATTAACAGAGTTGACTTTGCATAATTTACCAGAATTGAAGAGAATCTGCCCCACAAGAGGAGTAATAGTTTGTGATTCTCTCGGATGGTTAGCAATAAAGGAATGTCCAAAGTTAAGGAGGATTCCCCTGGTAGGGAATGTACGGCCATCTCCTCCTGCTGCTCTAGAGGAAATCCAGATAAAGCCAAAAGAATTATGGGAATCACTGGAGTGGGACGATCCCAATGCCAAAAATGTCCTTCAACCCTCTCTGCATTTTCCTACTTATTGAGGACTGCAAATGGAAAGTTTTGCATCAAATCAAATGGCTGAGATCCAATACCATGGGTAAACCTTCTTTTCTTTTCTTATTAATGTTCAAACTGCAATATTTCACTCTCATTTCTTTTTT